GAACTTTGAATTTGCTTCATTTTAGCCATTTTCTGTTCTTTCTTCGAATTCTTCGTCGAAACATAAATTTTTTCTAATAAAAGTAATAAATAAAAAATTAGGTACTAATCCGTCCAAAAAATAATAAAATATCATCATTTAGGATCCCAAATAAGTGTAGAAACTACACTTATCACAAAAACAATAACACAATCTCTTCCCAGTACTAAATTCAGGTCCTTAGTGCATTGGTGCGTCTTTCTACTCCTTGCTTTTCATCAACCATACATAAAAATGCCTTTATGTTAGTCGGTGACAAAAGTGCCATAACCAATTTTCTTGAATATATTCTTCAAGTGATGCTTAAAAACTTTAAATTTCTTAATTTTTCATTTTCTCCTGGCAAGTCACTTGTCAATTTTAAGATTCTGGAAATGTAATATCAAACTGACAACACAAATCATATACACGCCGGATCCGCTGTCCCAATTTTATTGTTTCGTTGGCCGTCTCCCAATGAAATCATGACATCCCACTACAATTTAAAGGTGTCAAAATTTTAGAGATGACATGCCTAAGATTGAAGTGATATTGTGGAACTTTAGAGGTCTTAACATGTATTCAAACACCACATTCCTTGGTGGGGTTTTGATAGTCAGTACCTTATAAGTCCTATGCGTAGTCAATACTATAGCCCCAATCATGATTACTAATAAAATAAGATTAGAAACGAAAAATCAAACAGAATAGTAGGTATAAGGTAAATTGCCCAATATTTCCATATTAGTCCAACTTTGTACTTTATTGGCACAAACTATATATCCTAGAGAAGTCATATTTCTTTGGGTTGGTAGTAACGGAATGCTTTCATTATGTAGAGCGAAGAACATTTCCCACCAAAAGATTAGTCAAATAATATCACTCACTGGCAAATAGTGCAATTCTTCTTCGTGAATCTTCGCTATTTGAATATTGAACATCATAAAAACGAATAGGAATGAAACGACTATAGCTCGTATATAATCTACTGGGAAGGTCATAGCAAAAAAGTTGAGACCTAACAAAAGAAGTAAACCTGAAATATTGTGAAAGACAGGGATGGGAAACAAAACAAAATGTACCGAATTTTTAGCACATACAACCATCAAACCAGAGAACAAAATAGAGCTCAACAAAACAGAAAGTATCATAGTACGTTGTCCTTCCCTGAAATAGAACTTTCATGCTGGAGCAAGAACTAGCATGTTCGATTTATTATGACCAGCACGGT